GTACAACTCTAGCTAAAATATGAGTTACAAGCTTCGTGGATCGTTTGCATAGCCCTATCAATGAGTCAGATCCGGCCTGGATTGCAGTATTTCAAACCAGGCTTGTTAAGCTAATAAAGGATCTTGGCTCGGCCCGTACCCGATGGTTCAAAAATTTGGACCCAGATCCAACATGTACATTGGACTCTTTTGTTTGATATTGAATACTTATTTAGTTCAATTAAAGGAATTAGACAATTAAAACTTCAACAAATAGGGATGCAGATGTCATATATTAAGAGGAATGGATTCAGCTCACTAATCGTCAACTCACTCTCTTGTTAGATTCGAAACTCCGTGAAAGTAATTTCAACTCTTTTTACTCTAAGTAATGGCAACACCCCCCAAAAAAGTGATGTGAGTTCTTCCCCCACTTAAAATAAATGTCAATAATATAGGATCAAGTACGAGTATCGTCTTCAAGGGACTGAAAAAGAGAATTAAGTATTGATTAATTTCATCAAAAAAATTAAATAAAGGGAAAATGGAAACTAATAATCCAACCTTTTAGCGGTTTTCTTACAATAGTCCCACCTTTTCATTGTTCATGAATAATCCAACCTTACCCGCACGGGTAGCTCAGTTGGTCGAGTGGTGAGAGATTTGGAACAATGGACCAAGGTTCGAATCCCCGCAGCGACCGGGTGGAGGTCACAGAACCTGAAATAAGGCTGGGCCTCTGGTGCGCACGGGTGTATGGGCCTACTATCATTCTGCTGACTAAGTCACCGTGACTAACCTCCCCACCATCCTGTCGGGTCGGGGTGGGGGGCTCCTGGGGTGGGAGATTCCACCTTATGGAACAATGAATAATCCAACCTTTGCACCCCATCTTCATTCACTGGTCCCTGACCGATTGATGACCTGTTATTCCAAGTTATTTTCTTATCTTTGTAAAACATTTTATCATAATTCCCACCTTATGATCACATAATGTTTTGCAAAGATAAGAAAATAACTTGAAATAACAGGTCATAAATCGGTCAGGGACCAGTGAATGAAGAAGGGGTGTAAAGGTTGGATTATTCATGAATAATGAAAATGTTGGACTATTAGTTTCCATTTTCCTTAAATAAATTAAATGTGAATTGTGTGAGATGGGTTTGGCAATTGAATTGCAAGGAGTAGCCATTCTAGGTAATTTTTTTAAAAAGTAGGTTATAAAATTTAACAATTAATTTATTCAAACACAAATTAAATTATAATCATGCAAATAATTCATCATCCAATAATAAAACCCTAGAACATAATTACGCCTCTACATTTTTGCAATAATTTATGCAAAAAAAGTATTGTTTGAAACCCTAGATAGAGCAAGTAGATACGGTCCTCCGTTCCTTTTTTCTTTCTTCCATCTTCATCACATAATCTTCACCATCTTCATATCCAGCACCTTTCAAGCTTCACCATTTTCATCTTATTCATCATCTTTTGTCTTTATCTTGAATCATCACTATATCATCTTGTGTCATCTTTCATCCCACCTACTTCTTGGTCACCAGAGTTGTAGTCACCGAAAGTATCATCGAAAAAATAACGAGAGTTGAAATCACCAAAAGTGATATAAGTTGTCTCTAGGAAAAAATGGAACTGAATTAATAATAACATTTTGTAAAATCTTGTCATAAAAAAAAATGTCTATATATAGGCATTGATTTTGTTTCTGTGTCTGAGTAACCTGACAAATCATGTTGCAAAGAAGTCAAGGTGGGGTTGCACATAAACTAACGTCTGCGTACATAGATAAAAAATGTTAGGATTAGGTCGCACGGAACCAATATTTTTGTACACAAACATTAGTTGTCTGGGATAAACAAATTGTTTGTATCCATAAATTTTTTGTTGTGTACATAAACATTGATTGCCGTGCAACCCAACCATAACTTCTCTGCAACTTATCTTATCTGTGTTACTCCTTCCGTCCCAAATTGAGCTTCAAAACTAGTGTCTGTATATACAAACATTTTACACAATGTTACTCCTTCCGTCCCAAATTGAGTTTCAAAATTGATTTATTTGGGTCAAACAAATTCATTTTATTCACTTAATTAGGATACCAATTCTTAATTAAATTTTAATTTGAATTTTAAATTTCTATAGAGATTTTAATGCAGTTTCTGAATATGTAAATTTTAATTATTTAAATTGAATTAATTATCAATAAGGAGGAATTAACTTTAGCATCGGTTGACTAAAATAATGTTGACTTTGCAAATCAAATTGGGACGGAGATAGTATTAGTTTTTCGGTTTCAAAAGGCTCTACTGCCTTTTCGCATCCTTTTCTTTTCTTTCCCTTACAGATAAATTCTACGTAGTATGATTATTTAGTACGACAAAGTTCCGGCGAGGTTCATTTTTTATATTCCAACGACTTTCCGGCGACTTTTAAACCTGCATTTCTTTTTATGACCAACAAGATGATAAGGGCTAAGATGGTGATGGAAAGTGATGATGAAGATTGGTTTTGAATCAAATGGAAAAAGATAGATAAAAGGAGTGAAGGGAAGATGAGAGAAGGAAACAAGGAAAAGGTGGAGATAAAAGAAATTAACAACAAAGAAGAAAAAACAAAGGAGAAAGAAATACTTGGACCCTTATTTTGAGTGTACACCAAGGTGTATGCAATATGCAAGGGTGTACAACGGTCACAACAATTCAGAAAATTGAGAGAGGACATTTACAAACTCAAAAACATGAGAACTACATTTCAATGTGGGTACTATTTGAGAGATTGAAAGTGTGATTTCTTCATAAACAGATAATCAAATAATGTAAAAAAGATGGTAAGTACTGGTCATACCTGGTTCAAAGTCTGAAACTGTTTGGAAGGCCAAAAGACTGAACCAATTAAGAAACTAGTGAAAGAGTCAAATGGACTAATTCACTTGATAAGTTGATACTCAATCGGGGTATCAGACAATCAGATTGAGACTTGACCGCTTGAGGATTGATGTGAGTGCTTATTTGCAGACTGTTGTTGTAGAGTGCATATGTGCCCCTATGCGGGGTGTAGATTGGCAAAATCTGTACTTCGCCAGTCTGCAACTGCGAACTTGCAATTTCTTTCGACAACTCGATTTTCGATTGGTGCTGGACAGCTGCAATTCACTTGTTGTATATACTTCATCTGATCCTTGATAAAATTCATAGTTTGACTTTGAGATTGTTAAGAAAGTGGAATTTTCGCTTTTGACTTTTTCATCATGCTCTTACAAAAAGTAAATTAGGTGCAGTGGGGGAGAGAAAATGAGTGTAAAGTGAGTAACAAAGTAAAGGTACAAGAGCAATTTTATATTAAAAAGTTACAAAAAAAATAAAGTGTGAAGTTTATTTTAGACCTACCTAAAAAGAAAGTGTGAAATTTATTTAGGACCAAAGGGAGTATTAATTATAATGTACCCTATTACGATAATTGACTCAATTATAAAATATTAGGTTAGTCACTTCAAATAATCAACTATAATTAGGATTGTTAAAAATTGTACTTTTAATTTGATCACCATGTGAATAGTTGGATGAGACAAACAAATGCAATAGAGTTACTCCCTCCGGTCCTTGTTAAACTTTACAGTTTGACTTCACACATACTAAGGAAATAAATTTGACTTTACTGTAGAGTACACTGATTGACACTGTTTGACACTATTTTGCACTGTTTGGTGTAGATTTCTTTGCCAAATAAGGCAAATAAGGAAGTGTAAAGTTTAATATAGGACGGCCCAAAAAAGAAAGTGTAAGTTAATTAAGGACCGGAGGGAGTACATATTACTCCGTAATATAGTAAAAAGTGATTCTATAAGCCCCAAAATATAGTTTTTTGTTAATATCCCGTAATTATGACTTCACCGGATCAATCCCGATCATTTAAGAATTCACTCAACTCAAAAGTAAATACAAATCGCTCCAACAACCCACTTCGATCCTAATGCCCATGAATATACTTGTACTAGAGTTGCAAGCTCATGTATTAAATAATTGTGTCAAAGTACATTTAAGATTAACATGTTCCTTAAAAGAATAATGAATGATACGGAGTACTACCTCCGTTCCTATTTTATCTTCCAATCCACTTTGGCACACAATTTAAGAAAAGTGGGTATTGTGTGGTGGAGAGTTGTGCAGAGGAGAGAGAAATGTGTAAGAAATGTTGTGAACCACAAATTCTATATCAAAAAGGGAAAGTAGAAATTTAATTGGAACAGACGAAAAAGGAAAGTTGGAAGTTTATTTAGGAACGGAGGGAGTATGTTTTATCGGTGTGAAATAAAGACATGTTTACGTCATAGTTAATCTCACCTTTATCGTATTAACACAAGTAAAGCAAATATTTTTTTTAGATAAATGTCTACATCTTTTATGTCTTAAAATGTTGCTTAGTAAGCACCTCCATGGTCTCATGTTTTACAAAGCAGCATGTTAAGATTTTTCTTATTAATAAGTACACTCCTTGCATATCACAATGAAAGTCATCGGAGCACCTCTACCCTCACAACCCATATTCGACCCTACCTCTACACTACCAAGCAACCCCTAACCTACCTATCACAACTACCCTCAACCATCACCTCACCCTCTATCATCGCCCTCACATCCAACCCCTACACCCACCACCCCTGCCTCCATCCTAAACATCCTAATGGGTGTATGGGTAGGGGTTAGAGTGAGGCGTAAGAGTATGAAGTGGTGAGGGTGATGAGTTAGAGTTGGAGTGGGGTGTTGTAGATGAGGTAGGGGAAGAGATAATGGTGAGATAGAGGTAGGTGTTGGAGTGATAGTAAGAATGTGTATTATCTTTAAAATTATACTAGTAGTTGATATTTTAAAGTTAAATCATATTTTAATAAATAGATAAGTCTCCATAAGTAAACATACATTTATTAAACATCTCGTAGAGTAGCTCGTAATGTAAATCATTTTTTTTGGAAACTAAAGTAAATAATATTTTAAAATTTGTAGTTATTCAAATTCATTCAGATTCACTTTATTATATATAGGAAAAAGAGGAGCAAATAAGAGCTTATTTGACTTTTTTTGTTAATAACTGGGCTTATTTGCTTCTTTTCCATTATGTATACTCCATAGTCCATACCATGTATATATATCCAACTATATTTTTATCTACTATTACTCCAATAATAAAGATGCATGTTATTGCCGATAATACCCTCCATAACTGAAACTCCCAAATCCTTCTCCTGTTGGCTGATCTCCGCCACCATATCCAAAGGGACTGCCAAATAGATAATCTGCTGCTGCACAATAACTCCATGGACTGCTAACTCCTTGATCACTCCCTCCTCCTCCTCCTCCTCCATAATTGTTCTCTTTCCCATTGTTCCTCTGGTATTTCTCCCAACAAGGCCAATACCCAAACATGCCCTCACATACATCCACACTCTCCAAACCAGATCTATAGTAATGACCATTTGCCACTGGGTAATCTGATGTATTTCCACTAATACCCTTGTTTAGATCATCCGATCTTCCAAAGTCAACGGCGACTCTGCCCCTGTCCGCAGAAACCACTTTTCCGATTTCATTGTCCAGTGAAGAAGCGGCGGAGCGAGGGTAACAGGTACGATCTGACGGTGGAAGGGGTTTTCCATATGTTTGGGAAATATCATAGCCACCGCTATATGGGTCTGGATCATACTCATCAAAATCAGTGTCGTCTTCTTGTTCTGGACCATCTAACTGGATCAGCATTGAATTACTGGAATTGTGAACAGAGTAATTCACTTCTGGCTGCGTAGCATAACTATATCCAGCATAATCGTGATAATAATCACTGCTATAATAATTCGGGCTGTTTTCTACCAAATTTGGGGAAGGGTATGAAAACGGGCTATGATCGTACGGTGTGGATGCGTTGTAGCCATAGAAAGAACTCAAAGAAGGGTAGTGGGACTCACCGACGCCGACGGCGACGCCCTGGTAGCCATAGAAATCCATTTTCAAGAACCGTAGAAAGCTCGCCGGAAGTTCTCCAAAAATGAAAAGTCAGATCTTTTATAGTTCTTGGAAATAGGGGAATGTATTTTTTTGTTTACTAATATGGTGATGAAAATTGACCAGATGCTAATCTATATATCAAGTTGCAAAGAGGAAGGAAGGGAATTTGGTTAGGAAATTTTTGACATTTGGCGTGAGCTTTATCTCATCTGCTCCGTGATTAAAGAAGTTTTTTTTTGGGACAAGAATCTCGAACTTGGAAAAAAATGTCAAATAAGGCTATATTTAGGATGCTCTGTCTGGCCGACGCCATTTGAGGTGGTTCCCGGTGAAATTTTTTGATGAATATTTTTGAGAATCTTATTCATTAAGTCTACTTTACACATATCAAATTTGAACTAAAACTTCAATTGGGAAGGTATTCAAATGAATTCTTGAAGATAACTGCTCTTTTAAGTGCGCAGTTATCTTCAAGAATTCATTTATATGCCTTCCCGATTGAAGTTTTAGTTCAAATTTGATATGAGTAAACTAGACTTAATGAATAGGATTCTAAAAAAAATCATCAAAAAATTCCACCGGGAACCGCCCCAAATTGCGTCGGCCACACAGAGCATCCTAAATATGGCCTTATTTGACATTTTTTTTCAAGTTCGAGGCCCTATATGATCCTTATCCCCTTTTTTTCTTTTTTTTTAAAGAAAGGTGGTTACTAAGGATGTTTTTACTTGGACTGTAATTTGCTGGTCTGGTCTGGTCTGATTTCTTTGTATTTTTATAATTATCCAAGTTTGGTCTGGTCTGGTCTGAGAGGAATTACAGTCCAAGTAAAAACATCATAAAGGTGGTTATTTTTGCTGAGCTACAAAGATGACAAAAAAGGTAAACAGAATCCGATATTGAGATCAATGTTAGACAACATTTCAACTTGTGCTGAAGTATAGAGTACACTAGTAATATACCACTAAATTTGTAAGATATTTTACGATTTACTATGTATAACCGACAATAAAGCAAATTGATCTCTATCAACGTTCAAATTAGTTTTAAAAAATAAAATTTACATATTCAGAAATACTAGTACATTAAAACCGCTACAAAGTCTGCAAAAAATAATTAAAATTCCATAAAATTTTGATATATAAAGTAAATAATTAAGAGTGGTTTATGTTGACCAAGTGAATAGGAAATGTATCTTACAAATTGGGATTGAGAGGGTACTAATCTTTTCATTCCACCGGAATTTGTGAGCTTTTCTTTTTTGTACAACTTTGTCACTTTTCTTTTAAATCAATGAATTTGTGATTCTGTTCAATTCTTAATCCTCTTCACAAACTTTAACTACATTTTTTGACTATTTTAATTTCACCGGCGAACATCAACTTGGCAAAATGGAGTGTTAGTAATATACATAGAATGTTAAGTTGTACACATGTCCCATAATAAACAAGTTAATGAGTTATGACTTGGTTACATCGTTTACATAATGATGAGAACTACACACATTAATGCTTAGCCAAATCATCAGCATCCTCGCTCATAGTGATCATACTAACATACTCATTAAATTAAAACAGTCGAAAGTATGTTAAGTTGGTTTTTTGGTATTACTTAAATTTAAATCATTGTTGTCAATAATTGGTGGTACAGAGTAGAATTTTTAAATTGAATTCTTTTATTGTGCTAAGAATTTTTAAAATTAAATTCTTTTATTGTGCTAAGAATTTCTTTAATTTCAAGAAAATTAAAACATTCAAATTGCTTCCATTCAATGTAATGTAATGCTAATGGGGATAGGTTATAATCAAATTAAAGAACCGTTTTAATATAATGCATCTGGAATGAGCCAAAAATTAAATGACTTTGTCTACACTCTACATGTGGCTTATATGGTGACAATGATGCACTACCAGTTTTGATATTTAAAAAAAATACAATGGAATTATTTGGATTGATATTTGATACTACCTCCGTCCCGTCGGAAGGTTCTCATAGCAAAACGACACGATTATTTAGGCAATAGTTAAATGAAGTACTTCGAGTATATTTTGAGAAATAATTTTAATAGATATATATTATAATGTAGTTAGTATTGATAACTGTGTTGTTATAAATGCATTATTTTTAATATTTAATGATTAATTTGTCACTTAAGATTGTTAATTGTTTTCTGAAATAGAAATGAGAACTTTTATATGGGACGTCCAAAAAAGGAAAGAAGGAACATTCTAATGGAACTGAGCACTTTTAACTATTCTTGGTGAATATGGTAGGTTTATGTGTGTACGGTGACTTACTAAAAGTAAGAATAAGAAGATATATTCTAGTTTGAGGTTTGTGTAATTCTTCTATTATTCACCAATATACTTGGTGTTTAGTTTAGCCTTGATTAAGAAGTCACCATAAACTAGGTCACCACTCAAGGTTACTCACACATAAAGTTTTTCACTACAAGTAAGTAACTGCTTGTGCAACTCTATCCTTCTTCTGCACTCAAGGGATGATATTAAGAGCCCGTTTGGTAATACCTAAATCATCTGCATGAGCTGATTCGGCTGAAATTTATGAAGTTATGGCTGAAGTGACCGGATTGGCTGATTTTGCTGATTTATGAAAAAATTATATTTAAAATATATTTTATTAATTAAATAAAGAAAATATTATATGAAAAAATAGCGAAAATGATTCTTTAAAGTAACTTCAGCCAATACAGCCAGAAAAGTAACTCCTAACTTAGCTTTTCTTATTACTATGTATTACACAATTCAGCACGCGAAATAAAAAATTACGTGCGTGGTGAAAAAGTTGGTTGATAAGCCGAAAAACAGGCTCACCAAACGGGCTCTAAATATTCAGCTAACTAAGCTCTAAAGATAGTATATTTAGTATTTAGGACTCCTTAGGAGTTTAGATAAGTGTTTGGTGAGATAAGATGAGAAGTGATTAATTAGCACTCTCTTCTTTGGTATACATGTCCTCGTAAGATCCTTTTGTTCTTAACTGCATACCTTTCTCCAAAAAATTACTCTGTATTTATAGTCTGCATATGACTTATCATATTTTATGGTGTTTGGTTATGAAATCAAGTAAAAATAATTAGTCTTTTGTTCTTTCTCTTTCTCTTTAGTACTCCTTTTATCTCTTTTTTCATTTTATCGAGTACTTTCTTATTTTTTTCTCTTTGTTTTCTTTTTATCTTTGAGTAATTTTTACTCTTAGGCTTCTTTTAATTTTCTTTTTATGTATGATATGCAAGAAGTGTAATCGGCTATTTTGGCCTTACACGTGAACATTATCAAAATCATCGGTGCTCTAACAGTTGCTCATCGTGATGATGATGTTATGGATTCGAGTCTCAACCATCCTAGATGGGGAGTTTGTGACTTTGTGGTAATGGACTTATGGAAGTAGAAGCTCTGGGCCAGAGAACCAATTAATTGACACCAAAGTTTGAATTCATCATCAAGGTTGAATGATTAGATGTAAACTATGAATTGATCATTTGATTCAGGTTGTTTAAATCAATGGCCTTGTTAGCATCATCCATATTTGAATAAAGTACCAAAAATTAAACAAAGAAATTGCTCAAAATAAGAGCAAAACATATATAATAAGGGGCTATATTGGAAAGAAATAATGATACTTCTATTTAAGAAAAATGTGCTATTTTCTACTCATTTCTACCTACATACTACATAGTAACTCATGAGTTACTTTTGCTTTCACCATCATATAGTTCAGCTATTACAATCAAATAATGAAGTACTGTTAAATAGACAATCTGGTGCTAAATACACATCAGACATGTGTATGGTATATATTTCAAAATGATATTAGTGTACCCGTGTAGGGGGGCGAATATACAATTACAAAAGAACATGATAACTTGTATAAACTCATGATTATCTAATCTATTGTCTAAACCAAACCAAAATAAGCAAAGCCAGCAAATCACATTTTAAACTAGTTTACAAAAAGGGAAATTAAGTTACCTCTTTACACATAAAACTTGCCATTTTATCCAACACTCCCCAATCACACAAACTCACAGCCTAACCTAAGAATAGAAGCAGTTAACACTCTAAAGAGAAAGTTAACGCCCTTCGATTTTAGTCATTGATAGGCTGTTAACAGAATTACTTTTAGTAGTACTTATTGAGGATGATGGAAGACAAGTCTCTTTCCTTAACAATATGAATCCTGGTCGATTAGGTGGTGGAAGCTTAGTTTCATTGCATAGCATGAAAACCACTTCTGACATGGTTGGTCTGTCATTTTGCATTGCCTGGACGCACAACAGCCCAACATGGATGCACCTCAAAACTTGTCCGCCATCATATGACTTCCCTAGCAATGGATCAACCAAATCCAGTGCTGTTCCTTCTCTCCACAAATCCCACATCTGAAAATCCATAACAAAAATAATCATAAAAAAGAACCCGCCAAAACTGGATATGCTCACTAATTGTTATGGACTAGGTTGCGTTAAAAGTGACGTAGCACCATCACAATTGTGACAAATGTGTGATTTGAAATATAAGAAACTAGCGCGTGAAATAAAAAATTAGTGTTTGATGTAAAATCTAGCTAATAGAGATGATGGGCAAAAAAACTGTTACTGAATTGACACTTAGGAGTTAGGATAAGGTTGATATATGTACTTACATCTCCTATTAGATTGAGGGAGTTTTCCTTGTAAGGATTTTTGTTCTTCCTTCCACACACAATCTCTAATAACAGAACACCAAAGCTAAAAACGTCGGACTTCACTGAAAACTGTCCTTCCATTGCATATTCAGGTGACATATAACCACTGTAGCCAAGCAATATTTTAATGTAATTAACGAACGATACAAAAGCTAGTAACCTTGAAATGTTATATGTGCGCTCAAATTAGAGTAACGATACGTACTATGTCCCAACTACACGATTTGTATTTGCTTGATTTTGGCCCGTTCCAAATATTCTAGCCATTCCGAAGTCTGATATTTTCGGATTCATGGAGGCATCCAACAATACATTGCTTGCTTTTAAATCTCTATGAATGATTCTTAATCTAGAATCTCGGTGAAGATATAGTAATCCTCGAGCTATTCCCAAGATGATCTCAAAGCGCTTGGCCCAATCTAGGGACTCCCTCTCTTTACTATCTGTAGAAAAACTAAGTAAACTTACATTGTAAATAAATAAATCTAATTTTGGAATTGTAGCACCAATGAATGATAATACTATACGTACCGAAGATGAAGCCGTCTAGGCCTTTGTTAGGCAAGTGTTCATACACCAGCATTTTCTCTCCTTGTTGAATGCAACATCCTAATAGCTTCACAAGATTTCTATGTTGGAGTTTTGCAATTAGTGTCACTTCATTCTTAAATTCTTCTGTTCCTTGCCCTGAAGTTCTTGAGAGCCTTTTGACTGCTACTACTTGTCCATTTGGCAATTTGCCCTGCATGGCCAAAAACTGTCTATAATTCAACTCAATTACCATCAAACTGATGTAAACCAAACCATACCAAAAACAATCAAACCAAACATCACAATGATGTAACATTATATAAACATGGGAAAAGAACAGTGATGAGTTGCCTTATAAACAGCACCAAAACCGCCTTGGCCAAGTTTATTTTCATCAGAGAAGTTATCAGTGGCAGTTTGCAAGGTTTTTAAAGCATAGAGGGACACATCTGCTGATCCAGTTTCGTCTACGTGGTCCCCCATTAGAGACTCATCGTAGGATTGTAAGTTGCTATCTATCAGATCTTTAGTATTTCTTCTTTGTCTCTTACCTGCAATCATCACCATTAACGGATCATCAGAGGCCGAGTTAACCTACAAAAAGGCTTTACTCCCCTAGCGATAACTGATAAGAAAAGTAGTCCAATCATCCAATGTTATGGTAGTTTGTGATTTTACATTTGGGGGGAATGAGCAGTCAACCCATGTATTGTATGTTACATGTTAGAAGACAAATATGCCCCTCAACTTTCTTTTGAAACTATTAAACAAGAAAATTGTATAGTTTGAACAAATATGCCATTTTGTCTAACAACTGAGGGGTATATATGTTCTCTTATTTTTTGTGCAAAGGTATATTTGCTAAAACTTTAAATTTTATGTTTATTATTTTAAAAAAAGTTGAGGAATATATATGTTTTTTAGCATATAGTTTAAGGTATACTTGTTTGTTCTCCCTTTTTATATCTAGTAGAGTAATTGATTCCACTAATTGTCCCCATCACAATTAAGAAATTCTGACTCTTAGTTCTTAATTTTCATCTTTCCACTTCCAATCCATGACTTTCATTTTTTGTCACTTAAGTTCCTTTAGTCCACTTTACAAGCGAAGATTAACCATAAACTGTATGAAAACCTACTTGTTAAGTGGTAGGAAGGACCATAAGTGACAAAATCTAAAGTCGTGAGACAAAAATGGAACAATGAACTGATGAAGTTGGGAGCTAGTAATGGAACAAAAAATGGAATTGATTCTTAGTATATTCTAGACATACTTTTAACACAACCCTCACATAATATAAAAAAATAGAGAACTAGAGGAATTATTGAGAGTAATACTACATTCGTATCAGTTCAGATAGAACTTGTGAATGTGGTGTGGTCATTCAACTAGAAAATAATATGTATGAAAGGAACCACTATAGTAGATTGAGTCCAATCAATTTATTAATATAGCCCAAGTTAGTTATTATATACTAGAATATCTCGCTTTAATGTTTCACAATTAAAAATAGCATAAAAGGCATTGCAGTTGACTCTACCTTTTCTAATTTTCATAATCAAACAAGAGAGTAGAAGAATCACTGCTCCAGCCACAACAGCCAAACTGACTTTGATGATAACCTTTGCCCCATGATGGCCTCTTGATTTCATCTCAAGTTTTTCTGTGAAAGAAGAGTTAAAACAAAAAGATTCATTCTCCACCAATATGAATAAAACTGTAATCAAGCAAATGTGATACAATCATACTTAAATCAGCAGCAGAGGCTCGAATATACATATCTTGGCCACCATTGGCTAGCTCTCTCATATCTATCAAGTCACCATACCAAGTGATGCACCCCATTCCACCAGAGGTAATATTTGAACTGGCATATCCCATGCAGGAACAGTTGCTCAAACAAACTTCTTGACATTCTTTTAGCCCTATTGTCCTGTTTACTACGGCCATTTTAGCGTCCGGGATCTTCACTTTTGTCAACTTGATGAACCCCTCACCACTATGGCATAACGATGTATCTGTTTGGCTCCCTCTGTTAACCATCTCATACAGATTAAATATGAAAAACTAGTGTATAAAGTCACATATATCCACACAACGAAGGTGTTGGTAGTTTTCCCCAAAACTAGTCAAAGTGAAATTCAACTCAGTTTACTACTTTTCTTGTTATTCACTTTAAAGTCAGAGCCTCTTTGACATTTTATCTCCTAATTTCTAGCCTTTTAGGAAGACTATATTTAAAGCTTTTGTGCAAGGTCCACTGTATTTGCTATTCTTCCCTAAGCAATTAAACACTTCATGTGCATCATTCTCCTTCTCCAAGAGAAGGATAGTCTCATTTGACAACCCACTTTTAAGTCAAATGAAGTATACCAATAAGTACAATTTCCTTCCTTCCCAATACTCTCCAAGTCATAGCAAATGTCGTTTGACATCTCTCATATCAATACAAGGTGCAATGGGAAGTCTCTAAATATAGCAGGAACACTTGAAAAATGTAAAAACAAATTAAATATACTGAAATATTTCGAGAACTGTGAGGAAGTATTGATAGAAATATTGCGGATACTCCCTCCGTCTCTATATAAAGGTCCGCGTTCATTTTATACACATTTTAAGAAAGTGGAATTGTTTGGCACTGTTTGGACACTGTTTTGCACCGTTTTCTTTACCAAAAAAGGAAATGAGACTTTTATTTAGGGACATAGGGAGTATTAGAAAGACATTGTTGTATTCTTAAAATTTTCTCACAAGGCTATCAAAATATCTTATTTTTCACAAATTTTATGTCGGGGTTTTCTATAAATACGTATAAAATAAAAGTGGATATTGGTTCAATTTCCATAGCAAATGTAGGGAAAAATTATAGTTGCCCCTTGTGTCATTATTTGTCCAAGTAAATCTTATTCAAGTCTATGAACTTAATAAAGGATGTGCACAATATCTACTTTTTAAAAGTCAAAACAATTCACCATCATAATTATTAGCTACAAGCCTACAATATCAGTTTCGGTCCTCTTAGCTACTTGTGGAAGAAATGTTATTGAAAGTTGTTGGGATAGATGAATCACGACACATATTTATGAGATACATTAAAGAAAATAATAAGCACTTATCGATGCAAGGCTTATTTGTAATCCATCATACTCAACTATCTATGATATTCTTCCATGTGTAGTAAAGCAAAAATAACTAGCAAAAATTATTATTTATAATCACAGTGATGGGATATTTTGACTTTTAATACTCCGTAGCATATACAGAGTATTTTAGATAATTTAATTAGATTTGACAATTATGTGATGTTCAATTAGATTAATATTGACATGATTCAAGAAAAGTTAAAGAATAACTCATTGACTTTAAAAATGCAAGGTTAAACTACAGAGTGATAATTATGAATTTATGATATAGACATGTGTGGCTACAAATTGGTTATTCAATTTTGTAGTAGTGGGTCCTATACTTCTATTTAAAAATTGAATGATTATGTTATGTACAAAAATGCCATAGGAGAGGAAATTTCTGCAAAAAAAAAAAGGATGTCTAATGCAATGTTTGAAATTTCATATATACACCACACCGTATTACTTATTATTTGTATTTGTGATTTAACAAAAATACTCTTATAGTCTTATGGGCTGTAATAGTGCTGCCAACAGACCGCCAACCGCCTGATTGACCTTAATTATGCAATATAACTAGGGGAAATTAGTTATAATCCTATAACTAATTATATTAGAGGTAGAAATGTAATTAACTAATACTCCATCATATAATTATTTATACGAGTATTAACTAATTATAACGCGTAATATTTATTTCTTTTTTTATGATGGTATGGTTTAGTAAGTAATCTTAATACCTGACACACCCCCCTGAGGAGGACCCTTCTTGAGTTGACTTGGGCTCATATCCGGTAAGACACGAGCAGTCAAGCGACGCCAAATTGCAAGTGCTGAAAGCGCCGCAGCCGCCGTATACGTCGCACTTGTCTTCCGGCGCCGACCAAACACCCACCCATCCCTTATCCTTTCCCTGCCATACCAGCCTATTCACTGTCCCAGATTCATTCAACACCAATATTGAATGTACAGACACGTCCCGGAGAGAATACGTCAGGCTGACCTCGTCAACGGTGTCGGTGTAGTTGAGATTGATGATGCCGTGAGTTTGGGACACCTCCGGCGCGCCGCTGAGCTCAACTCCGTTCCACGGCCCGGTTCTCCAAATCCGGGCCCAACTCCGGTAGAGGAATACCTGCGGCGAGCCCGTCAGCTCCATCCCGAAAGTATACTGACCCGTTGACGGGTCGTCCGATGACTTCCATGACGAAAGAAATCGGGGGCCGCCGCCGGATTTCTTGTCCACCCAGAGTTTCATGGAAGGAAGCAATGTGTTTGTCGGATAATCGAAGCTCTGCCACGTTGGAAGACCCCTTACATCAGGGTGCAAAACGAGATTCCCTGAATCTAGTAATTGAGCAGAGGAATACCGGGAATCTGGTTTTGAGCCATTGAGGTTCGTGCTCCAGACGGAAACGTTGGATTTCTGGTCCCGGACGACGAGATTTCCGGCTGCGTCGAAAAGAAGGATTCCGGATGGGCCGTTGACAGGGGTGTCTCTGTTAGCGACCCAAACAACGGTTTGGACTGGGATCTGTTGGAACCAGATTCCCAGATATCGCTTGCCGATGGAATTTTGTGGGGTAAAAAAACCCAGAGCAAAAGATTTTGAATTGGATAATAGGAAATCTCCATCTTTTAGTGTTTGGTTGAAGGTTATGGTGTCCGTGGAACTGGAAAAGCAGACTAGAAATGTAAGAGAACTTGCAAATATGAAAGATTGTCTCCCCATTTTTTAAGTTTGATTTGGCGATTTGTTCTGAACTTTTATCAAAAATAATTACTCCGTATATTGTACTCCGTAGTATCTTATTCAAAAAAGTATGGACTAATGTTCAAAATCTAGTAGGGTTTAATGCCAAATACAACCGGGTTTAAGTTTTATTGCCTCAAAAATCAAAATGTTTAAAGTGCCATGCATTAAATAGTGATGCAGTTATCTAGAATTTTCTATCTAGAAAAGACTAAAAATGTTCTAGAGAAGTAGAGAACTATAGCTAAAACCATTCTAGAAAATTTTCTATCGAAGAATTCTTATGTAAAAGCGAGAGTAGTTGGACATAATTGAAAAATACTCTAGATTTCTAGCATTTAATAAAGATTTAGAATGATTCTCTAGCTCTTATAAATATGACTCCTTGTACTCATTGGCTCACTAAGCAAAATCAAGCAATACCAATACAATACAAGTTTTCTAGATACAAGAGCTCTACTCCAAAACACTTTCTTTACACAGCACCTCACTAAAATCACTTAATATATTCACACTCCAACAACGTCTTCTATTTTCCTAACAAGTGGTATTCAAGCTCTTCAATAATAAGCGAACGTAATGGCGACATCAAGCTTCTCGGTATCGACCTTGATGTTCAACGGAGAAAGCTACGACTATTGGAGTGTTCGTATGAAGACTTGCCTAGAATCACATGATCTTTGGGATATTGTTGAAGAAGAAATCATCATGCCGGAAAAAGGAAGCGACATCGCATCAACTTCCGAGGTATGTAAGAAACTAAAGCAACAAAATGCTAGAGCTCTCTATCTTCTTTAACAATCCGTTAGTGATACTATTTTCCCGAGAATAACGTGTTCTACTACGGCAAAAGAAGTTTGAGATATTCTTAAGGAGGAGTTTCAGGCAAACGAAATGAGAGAATAATATAGTCAACGAAATGAGAACTCTTAGAGAAAACATAACAAACGAGAGAATAATCTAGAAGGTCTTAATCAGTCTCCTGAAAAATATGATCCAGTAGTTTCGGCTATTGAGGAGTCAAAAGATCTATCAAAAATGTCCATCACTGAATTAATGGGGTCGCTAGAAGCACGTGAGCAAAGGTTGAATGTATGATGTTAGAACATATTATATTGTGTTAAATTTAATTATATTTATCATTGTCTATTAGATTTAATTTGTGGGCTTTGTAATTAATTAGGGACCATTTAATTAGAGTTATTCGGCTCATCCTAATCTAACTAGGATGTTCGGTCATACTCCTATAAATATAGGATGTATAGACCGAACAACCTAAGACCTTCACAATTAGAATAGCCACATCATTATTGAAGCTCTCACGTTAGAATAGAGAGACAAAGACTCTACACGATTAATTCTGCACTTATTATTCTCGTAGAGCACCTCTCTAGTTTTTCTCTCTCAACAGTTCATTCATATATCATGTATTCTTGTCATATTGTTATGAATATATGGTATTGATTGTTGATGAATTATTCTTCTTTTACACAATTTCTCCATATTATTATTTAGATTTTATTCGACTGTGGATCTGGGATTACACACAGATGACATGAAAGTTCATTAGAAAGTGTCTTCCAGTCTAAGCTCAACATTAAAAGGAATGACTCAAGTAATGGTGGAATTTTTAAACCTCATAAAGATGGGAATTCTAACAACATGGAGAGGAAGACAAATTTTCCACATTAGAGAAAGATTGCTACCATCGAGGAAAGCCACAATGAAAAAATTGCAAGAGGTTCGGGCATGAAGAAAAAGATTGCAGAGATGGAAGAAGTTATCAGGCCAACTATTCTGAAAATTTCAAGGAGAAGGAGTACATGTTTTATGCATGGCACTCGACAATCGAAGCAAAACAAGAGTGGTACATCGATAGTGGATGCTGCAACCACATGACATCCAACGAGACCATCTTCCATGAGTTAGATACTTCTATCAAGACAAAGGTCAAGATGGGCAATGGAGAATTGGTGGAGGCAAAAGGGAAAGGTACCATTGTCATAGATACAAAGAAAGGTACGCACTTTATTAGAAACGTTCTTCGGGTGCCACATCTTGCGTCAAATCTACTAAGTGTTAGCCAAATGATGAAAAATAGATATGCCTTGCACTTTGAGAAAAATTCTTGCCAAACTTATGACAGGAAGAATAATCAAGATATTGTTGAAGTAAAAATGAGAAATAATTGAAATTTTCTCATTCAATGGCAATATCCACAAAAGGCAATGGTGGCTCAACTGAGTGATACGAGTCTATGGAATCTAAGATTTTGGCATTTCAATCTCAATGCCTTGAGATTACTACATCTAAAGAATATGACGAGAGATGCCTCCATTTGATGAAAAAGGGGTATGTGAAGGATGTATGGTTGGGAAGCAGCACATGCAACCATTTCCCAGAGAGAAAACATGGAGAGCCAAACAGATACTGGAGCTTGTCCACATTGATGTTTGCGGTCCAATGCGCACGTCTTCGGTTTCCAAAAACAAGTACTTCATACTCTTCATTGATGATTACTCAATGATGACATGGGTGTATTTCTTCCAAAAAAATACCGAAGTTTGTAGAATATTCAAGAGATTCAAGAACTTTGTAGAGAAGCGGAGTGGTCATCAAATCAAGAAGTTGAGAAGCGACCGAGGTACCAAATATAACTCAAAAGAATTTGACAAATTCTGTGAAGATGAAGGTATGGAACACCAACTAACAGTAGCATAGATCCACAACAAAATGGGGTATCAGAAAGGAAGAACTGTACAGTCATGGAGATGGCAAGGTCCATGCTAGCTGAAAAAGGAATGCCTAAAATGTTTTGGGCAGAGGGAGTGTATATTTCGGTCTACCTACTCAACTGATGTACAACTAAGGATGTTCTAAACAAAACACATGTTGAGGCATGGTCGGGACAAAAGCCTTTTGCCAAACATTTGATGGACTTCAGAAACATATGCTACATTCTCGTCCCATCCGTAAAAAGGCACAAATTAGAAGATAAAACAGAGAAGGGAATCTTCCTCGGCTACAGCTCCAAATCCAAGGGATATAGAATCTACAATCTCGAGACTAAGAAGCTGGTGACAAGTCGAGATGTGGAATTTGACGAGCAAGCCTTTTGGATTGGGAGACAGAATAAGTTGAAAGAAAGACAAATACTACCCAACTAGAGGAAATCCCAGAAGAGGAAGATAACGATCAACAAAGCCCCAAATCAACTCCAAAATCCTCTTCTGAAGCTAATACATCAAGCAAACATGACTCCTCACCAGAATCCCCACCCCTTTGGGTAAGAACTCTAGCAGGCTTATATGAGTCTACTGACATCTACGAAATATGCAACTTTTGTTCCTTGGAACCACATAGCTACACCGAAGAATCCAAAGAAAAAATTTGGATTAAAGCAATGAAGAAGGAGATCAAAATGATAGAAAAGAATTATACCTGGGAAATGGTAGATCTCCCACATAACAAGGAGGCTATTGGAGTCAAATGGGTGTACATAATGAAACTGAACCTCGATGGCTCTATTCAGAAGCATAAGGCAAGGTCGGTTGCAAAGGGGTATGCTCACATACCGGGAGTTGATTACACGAAAACGTTTGCACCAGTTGCCCGAATTGACACAATAACCCTCATAGCTCTTGCAGCTCAGAAGAAATGGAAAATTTATCAGCTAGACGTCAAGTCAGCCTTTCTAAATGGAGAAGTAAGAGAAGAAGTGTATGTGAAGCAACCAGAAGGATCCATCAATGAAGAAGGAAAGGTTCTTCATCTAAAGATAGCACTTTATAGGCTCAAGCAAGCTCCACGAGCCTGGTATAACAAGATTGATGGATACTTCGCCCGTCAAGGGTTCATGAAGAGCAAGAACGAGACTACGATATACATCAAACCCCAATGTAAATTTGACATTCTCATCGCCTCTCTATATGTTGATGATTTAATTGTTACAAGAAATAATTCAAAATTAATTGAAGAATTTAAGAGAGACATGATGAACACTTTTGAGCTGAGTGACTTGGGATCAATGCACTATTTCCTTGGCATGGAGATAAGTCAAAAAGAAGAAGGCATCTTCTTATCTCAAGAAAAGTATATTAAGGGCATGCTAAAGAAGTTCGAAATGCATGACTACAAAGTCATCGTTACTCCGTTGGTTCCTAATGAGAAATTAAAGAAAGAAGATGGGTCAAAGCCAATTGATGCTACCAATTCCCGGAGTTTGATTGTGATTCTACTTTATTTAACGGCTACAAGACCAGAAATAATGTATGCTACAAGCTTGCTCTCGAGGTTCATGGAAAATCCAACTGAGACTCATTATGGAGCAGCAAATAGACTCCTAAGGTACATACAAGGGACGATTAGTTATGGTATTTGGTACAAAACAAGTCATGACTCACGACTAACTGGATATAGCGACAGTGATTGGGCTGGATCTCAAGATGACAAGAAAAGCACATCTGGTTACACATTTAATCTTGGTTCATGAATTTTCTCATGGGGATCAAAGAAGCAATACTCAGTTGTACTATCATCAACAAAAGCCGAGTATGTTGCAACAGCCGGAGCAACGTGCCAAGCTATATGGCTAAAAAGAATATTAGAAGATATGGGAGAATTGCAAATCTCTGCGACAAAGATCTTTTGCGACAATAAGTCAGCTATTGTGATGGCTAAAATCCAGTTCAACACAATCGCACTAAGCACATCGATATCAAGTATCACTTCTTGAGAGATGTACAAGCAAAGGGGCATATTGAGATGAGGTACTGTCCAACAGAAGAACAATTGGCTGATATTTTCACGAAGGCACTACCAAGAGACAGATTCTAGTTTCTGCGAAGAATGCTTGGAGTTACCGACAAATGCATCAAGGAGGAGTATTAAATAGTGATGCATTTATCTAGAATTTTCTATGTAGAAAAGGCTAGAAATATTCTAGAGAACTATAGCTAAAAAATGTTCTAGAGAATTCTCTACTAGTCTTATGTAAAAGCTAGAGTAGTTGGACATCTATTATCAATACCTAAAAGCAAATGTTTTTTGCTACAGGATTCCCGCCTAAAAGAGTCACATCAAAAAATATAATGGTTGTGCAAAGGTTACAGAAATATGGT